GTATCGGAGGAGGATATGTATTCGAGTTTGAGTTAGACTTCGAGTTATTTATAGAGGATCCTGAAGGGGGGGTCGTATTCCCATTTCCCAGCCCAAATTTTGACTAAATCCCATTGTCCCAGAACAAAAATCCCATCATCTCAGTGGCTGTCCTGCTCAAAAATATGCAAATCCCAGTCCCATTTTACCCCTTCAGCACCCTCTTTATACACCAGCATTTCCGATTGTTCCGGTAATTTCCAAACAACTCCGATTCTTTACTTCTTCGAAACTTGAAACCCATGTTATTAAATAAATAAATATATGGAGAATGAAAAGTAGCTTGTAAATTTACTGTACTGTACTTCTTGCACGTTTTTATACCATGCACTTTGTTATATGTCTTATACCGAGTAATTGCTATGTGTATTTTGGGAAAGAATATATTAAAATTTGTACATTTTGGGTATTATTTCGTTCAAAATATTCGAAAGCATTATTATAGTCTCTGGAAAGGTCAAGGAGAGTATTTATAGAGGATATCACATGGCGGTGCGAAAATATGAATTTTATCTTCGAGTGAAAAGATAAAATTCATATCTTCAAGCCACCGTGTAATGTTCTTTTTATTATATAGTCGTTAATAAACATAACAAAGAAAATGAACACGTGATCGATATCTTCACTAGTGATTATCTATATATATGGAAATTTCTCACTGTGTATTTTTCGGTATCTCACTGTCTATACTGTATAATAAAAAAGGGTACGAACTAAAAACGTGCATGCAGTAGCAAATTCGCCAAAAGATGTCCTGTGACCTTAAATTAATTAAATCCGAGTTTATTAGAGTCCTTATATCTTAATCTTAATATCTTATATTAGAGAATTTCTTTTCATTTTCCCGAAAAATATACAAAAATATCCAACTCGAATCAAACCTGATCGATGTTACCTAACTCTCGTGCCGATTTAGTGGCCTGTACGTAAGTTCCATTGCTGTTAGCAACAACAGTTCTGATAATTTGCACAACCATTTTCTTAATTACTGCAGATTATTGTTCCTCCGACAAAACACTGATGATGTGCTGTTGTCGGACTTTGGGAAGATCGGGGAACCTCTCGAACTCCAGTTTTCCCCACTACCTATTTGCTTCACTCTGTGATTAGTAACCAGTGGCGGCGGAACAGGGGGAGGCTAGGGGTGCTAAAGCCCCCCCCCCCGAAGTAAAAGTGGGGGGCTTAGTCCCCCCAGAAAATTTTGTTTTTTCTGGAAAATTTTTGATAATTAAGGAAAAATTTAGGGTATTTTTGGAAAATTTAGGTGTAAGGGAAACATTTGCAATATTTAATTTGTTTAAAAAATGTGTATGCCCGGAAAAATTTTTTGTTATAGGTCCGGAAAAATTTTTTCAGCGCCTTTTTTGTATGTGTCCGGAAAAATATTTTGGTGTATGTCCGAAAAAAAAGTGGCGACGGGGAGGGGGGGGGGGAAGTTTTAATCCCCCCAAAAGTTTAGCCCCCCCCAAAATAAAATATGTTCCGCCGCCCCTGTTAGTAACTACTGTTGTAACGCGTTACGTTAGTAACGAGTATTTACAACACTGGTAGGATAGTATGATTGACACTGTTTAGCTGTGTATGTGGCAAATATATCACATTAATATTTTCGTCAATTAGACACTTAGCTTCTTGTATAAATTTCGTGATTTGTTAGAAAGTCTATTAATTTAATTGCCTAAGATTTTAAGGCTCAGAGTTAAAATTTGTGATGAGTTGTATGCTGCTTGATCGAGGCATGAGACAAAATTTGACGTTAAGTGAACTAGGCAAATTTTAACATTTGTTTGAGAAATAATACATCTTAATAGTGCAGTAAATATATTCAGACCAGACTGAGTGTTCTACTCAAGATAAACACTTCAACTTACAACATTGTTTAATTAGGGACGGACCATTATATATTTGAGGGGGTGGTTGCAGCTTTTTTCCTTGCAGGATTATTTTTTTGACGCACATGTTGTGCACGCTCGTTTAATAGTCAAACGCTTGCAAGAATTTTTTTATTTGAAGTTTTTAATAGGGGCGGGTTACAATATCTTTGAAGAAAAATAATGTGATAGTGTAAACAGGCCCTTTCGACAGTGACTGCTCCGTTTCCGGCCAGTGGCGTAGCCAGACTTTTCACGCCGAAGGCGTGAGAAATCTAGAAATCTAGAGTTCCTGAAGCATTTCAAGCATTTCAATTTCAAGCATTTTGGGGGTAAAATCTAGCAGAATTCCGAATGTTATAAAGGACATCGAAGACATGAATTTTCCCAGACATTTCTGCTCGGAAAAGTCACCTTGAAAACAGGAGGAGGGGTCAGTGTCACCTTATTTCCCTCTGTGATGCTGGGAGAGCCATGACATTTTTTCATACGAATATACGATACAGAGTAAGTCTGAGAAGAAACATTAATGCTATGATAATGCTACATGATTTAACAGTTAAAAAACTAAACTAAATCTAATCTTCTTGGAACCATATCTACAAGACTACAAATGCTTTAACGAGATTTTACAAATCAAGTTCCTCCAGTATATCATCTTTTCCCTCACTCGAGACGTACTTAATCAGTTTCAGCTTTCAGCATACAACATGTACCCCCCCCCCCCCAATTTCTCTACGGATTTAGCCTTTTTGCGAGAATAGTTTTTGTGGCGATTGGGGGGGGGGGGCGATCGCCCCCCTTGGCTACGTCACTGTTTCCGGCATAGTTTCAAATATTAATCAGTTACATAGAGATACAAACTGTAAACGATTGCCTTTGAACAAAAATACAGGTCCTGATTTAATAATTAAGGACAGGTCATAATTTTAATGCGTGTACTTATCCACTTTCATCTACAACATATTTCATATGAGGTACGGGCAGCTGGAGAGATATTAACCCGAAGTGGCGGCAAGCTGGTCGGCAATCTGAAGCCCTGTTCCGGGGTTCTGTATTACCACAGAATAAACAAATCTGTTTACTCTGTGGTATTAATTATTAATATGCAATAAATGAAGGCAGATTATCCGCGCTCTCAGATTAAGTGGTTGTCGTACAATCTCTGGTATGCACTTCATGTCTTGCAGCTATAATGAATCTATGTGTGGGGTTGGGCATAGCCCTAGGACCCATAGGACATGAAGTATATACCCTACTCCTGCAGGCCATACAGCCCGTATGCCCGTTCGCAGGTTTCGTCGCCTTAATTTTTAAAACTACTGGGCCTTCTGTGCCTTCATAACCTGCGTGCAGTCCCAGACCCTTCGGGAGTCCGGGACTGCACGCAGGCTAGTGCCTTCGCAAATTTGGATGCTTTGCATAATGCAATAATGGGTGATCATCAGGATTGTCATAGCATTCTATGTATTCTTCATATTTTATATCCAGAAGTTCCAAATAGGGGTCCAGGAATTGGAGTTTATTCTCATAGGATGGATGCTTGCACGAATTTTTTTTCAAGTTTTCTTCTTGCACGTTTTTTTTGTTTCTTTTTAAGGATAAAGGCTTGCTCGAATTTTGTTTTTGGATTAAAACACTTCAATTTATACAACATTATTTAATTAATAGAGTAAATACATTGAGATCAGTTCCACACAAGATAAAACACTTCAACTTACAACATTGTTTAATAGAGTAAATACATTGAAATCAGTTCTACCCAATATAAACACTTCAACTAGCCCATGTTACACGATACCAGATTCGCATCGGAGCGAGTCGAGCGATAACAACTATAAAGACGCATTTCGGTCTCTTACAACTTTCGTATTTGAAACTTTTGACCAATTTTATTATGTTATCATAATTTTGAATGCTAAACTCCCCTTGAAACTGTAAAATTTGATGTTGCTCCGATGCGAATCCGGTATCGCGTAACTGGGGCTTTATAACAATGTTTAGTGCAGTAAATATATTGAGCTCAGTTCTGCACAAGTAAAACACTTTAACTTATAAGAATGTTTAGTGCAACAAATATATTGAGATCAGTGGAAATAGATCGAGATCATTTCAGTCCAAAATTGCACGACACGAGGTTCAATTTCCACTTTATTATATTCACTTTGAAATCTTAAATATTTTCGTAAACCGGAAACGTTTTTGTTTGCAAAAGACACACTTCCGATACCTCCCTGAGTGTTGTAGCAAAGCAACAATAAGCGAACAAGATGAACTTAATTAGTTTTGTTAAATTGCATAAATATACGTTCAAAATACTGCAAAAATGTTAAAGAAATGAAGACATTTATAAAGAATAAGAGACAACACAAGTTTAAACATTTTGTAGGTTTTACGAGTTATTTGAAAGAGTTTTGGTGCAGTTTTGTGCGTTTAAAATTTGCAAATACGAATTTACCTTTGTTTTCCCTGAGTCTGACCTAGAGTCTGCCCTTTCCCTGAGTCAAGAGTATTAAAATCATGACATTTGTAAATACTTTTTGTTTTTGCTCATTTGCCATGTCATATTTTTCTTAAAGTTGATTGGTTGTTTGAATCCTATGATTAAATATGATTGATTGGCTGAAGTCAGCACTCTAATGTGATTGGTTCAGCACTCTAATGTGATTGGTTCAGGATTGAGTCAGCACTCTAATGTGATTTCAGCACGAATCGCACTGCTAGGAGTGCGATTCGTGGTAACCGTTCCATGTTTCGCGCACCAATACAGTAAACGTTATGTAATGGATATTATAGTGCACTGCAAAGTATACTGGATACCTCCATATACATATATACACACCCTAACCTTAAACCTAACCCTAACCCAATTTGATTTTTTCCCACCCCCCTTGCACCCTGTTGTCCTTGTTGCACCCCTGTTGACCAAGGCCAACAGGGGTATGCACCCCTGTTGACCAAGACCAACAGGGGTATGCACCCCTGTTGACCAAGGCCAACAGGGGTATGCACCCCTGTGCACACACACCCCTATTAATCTACCCCTGGCATTTGCTTACATTTAAAGTACTTCCTTTTTGTTTTTCAAAGGTTTTACCACTGACGGAGAATATATTTAATTCACTAAGAACATCTGGAACAAAGAGGCCAATATCCATAATTGAAGTAATTAAGAATATTGCTAAAGGTATGAAGTGTAAAGAAATCACAAAATATTTCACACTGGACAAGGAAGGTATTGTATAATAGTGCAATCATGTCAATTAAACTATACATATAATGCAAATCCAATAAACCTACTTTCCCCATTGCTTCACCCAAATTTTTACCACCACTTTTCCAGATGAATTATGTCAAATGTGAAGATACAGATTTCTTTTTAGAAATATAAAAATAATTTTCGCTTTGGTGTAAGAAAGAATATAGGAAATTAGGAATATAGAAATAAAGAATATAGGAATATAGGAAATTAATATATGAAATATTGACTAAAGTAATTACTTCCTCCAACAGGAAACCCATTGAAAAGCCATCCTGCTGTTCCTCCCGAAGATGCAAAATGGTGTCATGATTTTATGTATGACAGCGACCCTCCAGTTACATTCCACCGTGCTTGTCTAATTCTCAGAAGGAGACTTTTCCCCTTCCACTATGATCCATACCCTTGGGTTAAAGGCAGAGATGAGACAAATGTAGAGGTGTTGAAATCACTGATGGCTATATATTTACACCGTGCAGAAGTTCAGAATCTTAGAGGCCTTAAAGAAGATCCTGCAGATTTTAATTCCCATCTCTACCAACCCGAGCTAGGGGGTCCATTTACCTGGACTTGATTTGAGATATCTCAAAGACGCGCTACATGACCCATGCACAGGACTAACATATGAAGCACTTACAGGTAAAAATAATAATTTAAAAATCAGTTTAACCTGTTACCTTGCCATACCCCACCACTGGGCTCATCTGGGCATATAACATAAAAGTGTCACTAAGATACAATTGTTATGTTTAGGAAAAAATAAACAATCTGTACCTGATTGTGAACGTATAATTTCACCTGGAGTGTTCAAATTTTTGGAGAAGAAAGGTCATACATCAGGAGCGACTGTACTGAAGTTGTTACATAATTGGCACAAAGCTGTTGATGGGAGAGGCTTGAGTGAAGATCAGAGATCAACATATTGTGAAGAACTAAAATGTTGGTTGCTGGATGACTGGATGCCATGGCACCGAGAAGTTAAAGACTACTCCCAAATTGATGTGAACAGGTTAGCTCTTTTGGCTTCCTCTTTTGTTTTTTTAGTAAAAATCAAACATGTTTTTCCAACTGGCCTGTTTTGCAATACAATTTGATTCCAAAAGCGGTTGTATCATTCTCATACTGGTCCTTTGCTTCCTCTACACCTCATTCTACATGATTCTCGTTATGTTTTTAGTCGGTTAATCCTATCAACACAGAGGCTGTATCATTTTTCAACTAATGTGTTGAAATTGATCATTTAATATCACAAATTCTGAAGCCATTATACTATACATTAATTAGCTGTTGTAAATATTCTTATTTTTCATTCAATTTTATTGTTAAAAATAGACCTGTGAAGGGGATTTGTGGGCTAACCCGTGAGGTGATTGTTAGTTTGTTGGCAAATCTTGAGAGTCGTGAGTTACGCAGAATTGAATACATACAAAGAAATATCAAACCAAGATCTTCTTCAACCGATGATGTGGAGAGTTTCATTTCTTTACTACATGAAATTCTTGGATTGAATTTTGATTTGAAGCAAGTCTTCAGTGAGCTTCCTAAAATCCTAAATGAGTTTAGGAAAAAGACAGACAAAGATTTGCAGTTCTATTATTGAACTGGTGCAAAGACAAGATTCAGAGAGTTTGAACTACCATCGTTTAATCAGCCTTCTGGGCCCGGAATTATTGAGCGATTGGACCAAGTATGCATATCAAGACGAGGTGACCCAGGTGTGTTTGTGTCTGAAAGGGCTTCCCTTCCACAGAAAGGCCAGCTAACAGTGCGAGCTAAATTTCACCAAGCTCCTGTTGAACTTCCCCCAACTGTGTAACAGATTATGCAACAGGATAATTCATGAAGAAATATATCACACAGACCCACACTATAGCAAGGTTTGCTTATATGAAGGTAATTTGTAAACCTGGCTATCCATAATTACTGGTATCAGTAACCTGTTTACTGCAGTTCATGCATGCAGTCTTTGCTTATACATTTCTCATGCAAAGTGTTTACATAACAGCATAATCACTCCTTGTCTATGTGGGAAAACTATCATATTCTTATTATCGGGTTCCTGCTATTGCTAATTATTAACTGGGATATCCAGATAAACCACCTCTGTATAAACATGCCCTGAGTTCAAACATTTGGATTTACTGTTACTGTTAGGCAACAATTGTCAGTTTCATAATTTGTGCTAGATTGAAACAAATTATTTAAAATTGTATTATGAACTATAACTTATTTACAAAACCTTAATATTTGGTTGTTTGCTATGGCATTGTTATCATTAATTGTACATCAGGAATGTATAGTCAACATCTATTTAACATTCTTGCTTGCTTTGACAACATTTTTATGCCACAGCCCTTTCTTAGAGAGTTCAATTGTTATGTAGTATCCCACCATCATCCAGGTTGTGGAAAACCGAATGTTCTTCACAGAAACTTCAAAACTAGGGTCATCTAAACATGGGTGTACATACTGAGTTAGTTCACTTGCAATGTAACCAACTTTAAAAAAATCATTATCGGTCATTACAAAAACAGCAATAGCATTACTGTCGTGAGCATTGTCTGGTTCCCTTTCAAGCTGAACAAAAACTGGCCGATTATATTCATTCAGGTAGCTGTTAGCTTCCTCCAGTATACTCTGTCGCTCTACAGATTTGCAGGTACCCAGAACTTTGAATGGCAGTGAATGCTGGACATCAATATTGCTTTCGTCATCACTTTCAATATTAATACTATTATGTAAAACCTGTGCACGGCCAACTTCGGGTTGTGTGAATTCCCACAAAACAGTGTACTCCTTCTTTTCAATTGAATTTGTACAATATGATGTACAACACAATTCACCAAGGTGAATATTTGCATCTTTTTTTATTAAACAATATTGCCACATGGATATCATTAATAGATGCTTTCACTCTGACAAATTCAACTGACATGACAGGAAAACATGGGATAGTCCAAGTGAACCATGAAGTGCCAACATCCACAATGGTTAATGCACTGCTTCCTTTTTTAGGTACTTCTGGCACAGATACTTCCGGTGCAGATGTGTCTGGTGCTGATATCTAAAGAATAAGACAATCTCAATTATAATAAGCTGTAGCAGAGGAAATTTAGCAAAAGAATATCATTGCCCCAAGGGAAGAACTGTTTCTCCCTAGGAATTTCACATCTCTTCCCAAATCAAAATTAGTTTCATTGTTAATTGAAGTTGTGCTATCTCACTATTTGAAATACTTACGCAAATTGCTCAAGAAAATTTGAAGCTAATTAGCTGCTCGTGATATGGACTACAGTACAACTTTGCTACATTAGTTTAAAAGCAGGATAGAACTCATGAAATAATATTAACTTAATGACATTTTCTATAACAAAAGATTTACACAATTTTCTCCAAACTTACAGATTGAAGATAGGGGAACTCATTTTCCTTATTTCTACTCTTCATGCAAATATTTCCAGCAGCCATCTCTTTGGCAAACTCTTTGTCCAGAACACTATATTGACATTCAGTTAAAGAAATTATATATATTGGATAATAGTTTCATTAGATAATACAGTATATTGCATGATTTGTATTTACTGTTATGTGGCACAATGATTTACTAGTACCCATCTTTGAAAAATAGATTTGTCTGGTATCAGACAGAGTAACTATACAACAAAGTAGGGTACATTGTAGCTTAAAGGCCTAACAACAACTAAATTAAACACAGGATTGTAAATGAATGACATTAAAATTAGAATCCTACTACTGCAATGCTTTAATATGAATTTAAAATGGATACAGTCCACAAAAATATTTAACTTCATCTCCTGGATCCTCAGTCCATGGGTTCAATGGCTGGACAGTCAACAATGTTGAGTTAAATACTGACTGGTGCTGGAAGACTGCCAGTGCCATTTGAAAGAGATCTTCATAATTCGCAGGTGAGTGTTTTTTCTTCAGTTCCTCGAACAGTTTCCCAGATTTTACAAAGGAAAATGCCCTGTGGATACCTACTCCTCTAACATTACTTAGATAATCACACCCAGCTGCAATGGAACCATGCACAAATTCTGTGTTTGTTGTATTTAGCCCAAAAAGCTAGAATGTTATTCAACTCGAAGTACTCTCCATGACCAGTCATTCCAAGCTTAAAAATAACCTTAAAAGATATGAAATACACTCAATGTTGCTTTTGGTATAAAACTTGGGCCACAAGTCTCTAGCCTGGAACTTGGTCAGCAGGAAACAATGGGGCTTACAACTAGCTCTTATCATCTTATGCATGTAGCTTATTCAGGCACACTTAAATGGGAGCATATATGGAAGAAAAGGCCTTAGCGAGAGTAAATTTATGATCAGTTTTGAGTTTTAGGACAACACAGCGATGGTAGTAGTTGTGGGGGGGTGGGGTGTGGGCTTTCAACTCTACAAAAAAGGGCCAACTAGAAAGAAGGGATTATTTGATATTTAAAAGTTCTTCTGAATACAGACAAATACTATAGTTAGAGAAAAAACTATCCATAGAAACTTACCTTTTCACAGCCATAAACCAAGAGGTCTGAATCCTCTGTCACAGCAACATCAGCATACCCATTCTTGAGGAGAAAGGCAATTTGGGCATCTGATTCGTAAGGAGATACAACATACTTGACCCTCTGGCACAAACATAGCTAAAACATAAAGGAAAGGTAGCTGCAGTCTACTTTAGCTGAGTTGGAAGCTATAGTAGTATAAACATCAAACAATACCTTTATACATTCTACAACATCATGGTATGTTTTTTCCTGACCCTGACTTGCGAGTTTATTTCTTTGTGTCGTACTAATATTTTTTGTTTGCGCTTTCTCCATTCTCTCTCGTCTTTCACTGTTTGTAATAATAGAAGAACAAATTATAATTTAATAAATAGCAAATACAATGACGAAGCTCTGTCAAGTCTGGTCAAAGCATGAATGCAAGCGTTGGAAATCGAAGATTTTGAAATATATAAACCTTTGTCGACGAGCATTTTCCTTTTCTTTCGCTGGCAATGCCAAGCCATCGAAGACCATCAAAGGGATCACCCCAGCATCCTTCAGTGGTTGTATGTGGCTGTTGAATATTCGGGAAAACCTTTACGAAAATAATTATAGTTTATATAACAGTTTTTTTATTTTAGTAAAAATAGGAATATACTGTTATCAAGCTTCTCACCTTTCTCTAGTTCCTGTTTGTGATACAGAAATTGCCAGCGATTTATGTATCCAACACGATGCATCTACCGCAATAGTTTGCCCAGAAAATCTATTTATATTCACGTACGTTTGTAGAGTATTTAACGAATGGCAAAAGACAGTTTATCCCCATTTAAGTATTAATATATTCCCAAATAATCATTAATTATTTTACAGCAGAGATGTGCATACGACCGCAGTCAAAATGCAAATGACATCAGGAAATTTACATGGCGCGAAAACGCCAAAATGCATTGCGGCCGTAGTTCGCACACCGCCTGCTTCAAAGCTGATTCGAGGTCGGCGATAAAATCTAGTTTCTTCGCGTCAGCTGCGTTGTAATTCAATCCTTTGGCTAATACTTGTTTCTGTTGATCAGTGAGTTGCTTATGGGAGATATTTTTAACCCATGCGTCTGCGTTGTTATGGTTACGTTGGTATGATCTGGAATTGTTGAGTTTTCGTTGTAATTTTGCACGTCTCTTTGATACTTCTAATGGTATTTTCTAATGAATTTCCATCTTCTGTGTTAGTTATGGCAAAAATGGCGCTGCGGTGATCCTTAATTCTTCGTTGATATGTATGTACGTATGATATGATATACGTATATGATAGTCCCCTTGGACTTTGTCAACAAAGTACTATCACATCGGAAACAAACTAACACAGACCAACCAAACCAAACAAGAAAGAGGATCACACTTCCTTATATAAACACCAAGTCGGAAATGACAGCTAGACTTCTCAGACCGTTCAACATCGACATTACACACAAACCAACATGCAAACTTAGATCCAAGTTCACTAATCATAAAGACAAAACAAACGTAACCGAAAAACATAACGCCATTTACATGTTTACTTGCAAAAACTGCCCCGACAAGTACATTGGACAAACGTCTACGAAAATTCAGACCAGATTAACCGAACATCAAAACGCCATTAACAGACACGACCATAATTCACTCCCAGCCATGCACGCAGACGATAACGGACACAAATTTGACTGGTCTCAAACGAGATGCCTAGGACAAGCTACTACAAAACATGCCCGTGAGTTTAAAGAAGCGTGGCATAGCATAGATAAACTAACATTTAACCGCCATATTGACATTCCTGTAATATACTTACAACTAAAACACTCACACAAAAGTCCTGTTTCGCCTTCATTAACCTTTAACCCACCCGCAACTTCCTTCCCAATATCAACTCACGATGATTGCAATCACCCGCACTCCATGGCAACCAATAACAATCCATCAGCCGAAATGCGTGATCAACCAATCAGACGTTCCCAAAGGCTTCA